ATAGACTAGACTATAGACTAGACTATAGACTAGACTATAGACTAGACTATAGACTAGACTATAGACTAGACTATAGACTAGACTATAGACTAGACTATAGACTAGACTATAGACTAGACTATAGACTAGACTATAGACTAGACTATAGACTAGACTATAGACTAGACTATAGACTAGACTATAGACTAGACTATAGACTAGACTATAGACTAGACTATAGACTAGACTATAGACTAGACTATAGACTAGACTATAGACTAGACTATAGACTAGACTATAGACTAGACTATAGACTAGACTATAGACTAGACTATAGACTAGACTATAGACTAGACTATAGACTAGACTATAGACTAGACTATAGACTAGACTATAGACTAGACTATAGACTAGACTATAGACTAGACTATAGACTAGACTATAGACTAGACTATAGACTAGACTATAGACTAGACTATAGACTAGACTATAGACTAGACTATAGACTAGACTATAGACTAGACTATAGACTAGACTATAGACTAGACTATAGACTAGACTATAGACTAGACTATAGACTAGACTATAGACTAGACTATAGACTAGACTATAGACTAGACTATAGACTAGACTATAGACTAGACTATAGACTAGACTATAGACTAGACTAGACTACTATAGACTAGACTATAGACTAGACTATAGACTAGACTATAGACTAGACTATAGACTAGACTATAGACTAGACTATAGACTAGACTATAGACTAGACTATAGACTAGACTATAGACTAGACTATAGACTAGACTATAGACTAGACTATAGACTAGACTATAGACTAGACTATAGACTAGACTATAGACTAGACTATAGACTAGACTATAGACTAGACTATAGACTAGACTATAGACTAGACTATAGACTAGACTATAGACTAGACTATAGACTAGACTATAGACTAGACTATAGACTAGACTATAGACTAGACTATAGACTAGACTATAGACTAGACTATAGACTAGACTATAGACTAGACTATAGACTAGACTATAGACTAGACTATAAGCTATAACTGAACTGTTCTTTCCTCTTGAAAATGGTGTTATATTTCATTCCTTAAGATAACTTTTTGATTTCTTAAATGTTCGCCACTTTAAAAATGTCAAAGAAATAATAGAACACAATAATTTGTTTATTGTACTGCATTTATAGTATGGATTTTAATAGCGAAATTTTTGCACAAATAACTTTGCATTGAATTAATTAAAATTGTATGAATATTCTAGATTAAACCAAATAAGCACAAACAAAGTCTGCAGGCCTTTTTTGAGGGTTTTTAATATAAATAAAAATTTAAGAACATTAATTGCAAACATCATTAAAAATCAATTCAAAAAGATAAAGTCCTTTTTTTACTTCTTCAATATGTTTAACATTTCAAATAACAAATAATTATAGAAACAATATTTAAAAATAAGTATTACTTTAATTTATGTAAACCTTTTTTTGTCTGTTTATTTTCTTGCTTTAATTACTTTTTTGTTTTTCTTAATTTTCCCCAAAAATATACTATATAAACGACCCTTGCAACAAAACAAATTTTCACTTGCAACATTTATTGACTTGAGTGTTTGGGTTAAGCGCTTCTTGAAACATTTTACTTTCAGCATAAAGTCATTGAAGTGTAATGAATTTAAACAGATTGTTAACACGAAGTGAATGAATGCATTGTTCTCATGCTGTTAACATTTTAACGAGAATTGTCAACAATACATATTCTTAAAGAAATATCCTTGTTGTCTATAAAATATATAGTGGTGTGTTGATTTTAAACTGGTATATAATTCCTATAGAAACTGTAAAAATTATTTATGTAAGTGTTTTTGAGTGCAATAAAGTAAAGTGTTTTGTCTGGAAGTGTATTTTTTATAGCATTGTAAAATTTATAAATATATGGACTACAAAATGCATAAATTTTATTGTCGAAATTTAGTAGTTCTTAAAAAAATGGAAGACTAATTGCTAGCGACTAAATTTGACAAAATTTTAAGGAATATTTTAATTTAATAAAAAAACAAGTATGAATGACTATACATTGTCGGGTATTGTCGAATATATGATACCCTACACTAGTGAGTATGTTAAAAATCTGGATTATTTTTTAATAATTAAGCATTTAATTCCTTTCTTACCTTAGTTTCGAAATATTTTTACAATTTATTGAGATTTTCTACAAGAATATTTATATGGGGAAAAGGGTAAATATGGGTCTATCCTTATAAATTTTGGTAAGGAAACTACATTAAAAATATTTATGTAGAATTTCATCGTGTTATTACGATTTATAAGTGAATTATGACTTTCAAGTAATTTTCTGAAAGGGAGTGTTATTTAGACTTTTATAAAAGTAAGTTTTGTCGATGTTTAACATAATTATGAGCTTTTTAAAATTGCGACCTATAGCGTGCGCACAATGTTTTCATAGACAATCAGGCGGACTATAGGTCGGATAGACGGACCGTTAGTCCGCCTCAGAAAGTGATTCTGAGCCGATTCTCTCGTACATGATTTTAATTTGGCCCTCAAACGGTTCTGCATTCGTCAAGTAAAACTTCCTCAAGCTTCCTACCCTTTATAGCAATTAAATTAGTTCTTTTATTCTGAATTATCTCACGAGTGATCTGGTACCCATATCACTCAGAGCTTACTCCTGGAAGAATATTAGGTTATGGCACTCTTAAGGATTATTTCCGCATATATCGTAATCGGTACTGATAACGAAAAGTCGAATCTTTTTTCAGTGCAAATATATGAAATTTTGTTTTCGGTGGCGATATGTCCAATATGGTCTCAGATTAAACATTATCGGCTATTATCGCCTTAATTGGATTTGGTTATCGAAAATTGTGTTAACCTCTGTTGGTTCCATATTCAAACGAATCCATTTTACATAGTTTGTTATAGTTTTGATTTAGTAGTAGATATATATTTCGGCTACCTGGGCCTTTTTTTGTCTCCTAAGTACTTTAGAGTAATCAGTAGATTCCCGCAAAGCTTTGCTCTAATATTCCGCTAGACCACGATCTGGGACCAATGTTTGAAAGTTTCCTACAATTTATATATCCTGTGTGTGATCAGGCCAGTCTAGTGTTTGTGTATAACCGTCCAATATGTCCAGTGTACATTAATACCGTGACCTGTAACCGGCTCCGGTTAATTCGCCTAGATGAGAGGGGTTCGGCTGCAATAGCTGCCTCATATTTTACGTTTCTATCGGAAAAATCATCCAGTGATGTTCCTAATATTTGATTAACGTATATTTAATGGACCTACTTATACCCGTAACTTATTGGTGGTTGTTAAGTGAAAAATGGAAAAATTTCAACCATTTTCAAAAAGTTTTGTCCTTGATAAAGAAAAATTACAAAAGATGAAGTACTCACCATGTGAGCTAGTGTAGTTTGAAGGTCTCATCGGCTAGTCCATAATAACATATTTAAATATACCCCTTTTTGAACTGACGATGTGACTGATGAACAATAAAGAAATTAATAAAATAGTAAAGAAATTAGGTCGATATCTCTCAAAGATTAGGGGTACCTGTGAATTTGAATTTTGACGATTTCGGAGAAAACTATTTTTGATAATATTTTCGAAAATTAGGCTTGATTTTCTTCTGTTATCAATTTTATATAAAACCTTTTTATAATTTAAAATTCCAGTTTAAATATATATCTGAAGCTTTATTAAAATCGAATATTGTTAACCCATAAACTGTGAAGGTCAAACTTAAACTATGCAATATTATTCAGTTTTCTATCGATTTAAATGAATAATATATAATGAAGACCCGTATTTATGAAGACATTGAAAAAAATCTAAAGTAAATATATTAACATTAAAATCAGTGGAATTGGTTTAAAAAATGTTTACAAATTTGGAAGTCAAAGTCGATTATTTAGCCAAAATTGGATTTAAAAATTGAGAAATATTTTATATTTCGTATATTTTGGAACAAAAAATGGTGCTTTGTTGATTTTTATTTTTCCAAAAAAACATCTTTCTTAATAAAGTCTAGGTCAAAAATTGTCTTATATTTTTATACCTTACACCACTATAGCGGGGAGGGTATTATGCGTTTGTGCTGATGTTTGTAACACCCAAAATTTTTATTATGCGTTTGTGCTGATGATGCACCTTAAGGTAAACCAATCGGTTCAGAATCACTTTCTGAGTCGATTTAACTGTCTGTCCGTATGTGTGTCTAGGTCTCTACAGGTCGCACTTTTCAAGATAATTGGATCAAATTTGGCACATACTCTTCCTAAGAACGAAGTCTGTTGAAAATGGTTAAATCGGTACATTATCTCATATAGCCCCCATACAACCGTACCCCCCGACTAGGGATTTTGAGCTCAGAAATATGTTAAATGTTTTTGTATCACTTCAAAAATCGGCAAAACTTAGTATAATATAAGTCTTAATGATACTGCTCATTTTCGTAATGATTTGGCCTCTTTTAACCCTATCCCCCATACAAAGTTGCCTTCAGAAAATGACTTGCTGGTCAAAATTTACTTATAAACACTAATATCACGCTCTTTTGTCAACAAATTGTTAAAGTATTTCTGAATTAAGGTAAAAATTAAATTAAAAATAATCAATATTCTTAACATAATCACTAGTGTAGGGTATCATATGGTCGGCCATGCCCGAATATAAATTCTTATTTGCTTATTTTATTTATAACCAAAAAACCAGCCTAATGTCTTTGAGTTGTCAAAATAGGAGTATTCGAATGTTTATTTAGATATCATTTTAATAAGTTTATTTTGTAATATGTCAATCATTTTGTGTGAATAAATAAAATCCTTAGGGAGTGAAAGACATATAGAAATAAAACAAATATTTAATGAGTGTTTATAATTATTAAAATGTAATATGATTAAATACATACAAAAATATGAAATAATAATAATAATAACTATATTTTAATTATTTCAAACTTTGTATTTTTACAGGCATGGCCAAATGTTAAGAGAACATTTGAATTATTCCCGCAAGCGAGCACATATGAATTGCATACTATAACAGGTAAATTTAATTGATTATATTAATAACATTATCTATATTACAATGAAATAAAATTTTATAATCATTTGACTAATTGCTATAAACAAGTTATTATTATTATTTAATTAATAACCTCCCAATAAAAATAAATCATGCTTAATTAATTGAGCCATTAAACAGTTGTCATTTTCCTAATTCCTAATAGCCCATTAAAGCACAAATATTTTGAATGTGTTAGTATTTAGTTACAATAGTCTTTATCAAAATAACTTTAGCTATTCAAAATAATTAGCAATTTTATTCTTTCAATTACTAAATATTAATGATATTATTCTCACATGCTGAATGTTTGCTATTAATTGCACATTTTTATTATAGTTTTCTGTTTAATTTTCATTTTTGATGCCCTTAACAATTTTCGTATAAAGAAAATAACTTTAAACATAAAATGACAGCTGGAAAGCATATATGATTGTATTTCAATATTGTATTATATGCCACAGAATTAATTTCAACACATTCAACACATCTATATATCTATGAATCAGTGTGTTCAAAGACATACCAAACTTCATGTGTGTCTAGTTGCTTCCAATTCTTATAAGTTTTGCCACAGACATTTACGCCACGGATGTTTTTGTACCTCCTTCCTGCAAAACATTATACTCATTCTGCCACACTTCAAATTTCATTAGACATAGAAAAGACTTGGGCCAAAGGAAAACAAATATATTGACTTTGTGGCTGCCACAAGTTTACACATCCTTACTTACATAGACTTCTGTATGTTCTTAGACACATGTATACTAGACCTGCCCTTAAAAAGAGGATGGTGTCCGATGAGTCTAATTTCTTACAGCATAAAATATACAAAATAAAATATTATGGCTCCTATCCATGGCTGTTTATTTGTCGGTCCATCTGTTGAAATGGAATTGAAAATCAGTAGTATCGGTCCACGATTTTAATGAGTTATTGTATAATATGGCCAATTATGGGGCAATCCGGAAAAAGTGTTGCAGATAGATTTGTATATATTCAAACCATATTAAAATCGAACTTTATTCCGATATTATTATTACTTGATGAGTTATGTACGATTAAAAGATTTTTGGAACTCAACTTTATATGGCAGCTATGACCAATTATAAGTTGATGTATGTGACTTTATATGAAAGCTACAGTTATCGGCCAATCCGGAAAAAATTTCGCTGAATAATTTGTGTATATACACAACATATTCGTGTTATATTATGTCCCAATATGGTTATTATGTTCGTTTAATTGGATTTGATCTTATATGGCAGTTATATTCTCTTACGGGCCTCCTGGTTTTAGTTGGTAATACGATTTCTATTTACATTTATATTATGGCCAAAATGTCCAACTATGACCGACCCCCTTTAATTCCGGCAGTTCTTGACCGATAGAGTTGAAAATTTGTGTCTGGCTTACTATCTATAGATATAGATATTATAATAGTACTCTTCGAGAAAATACCCTTAATTGGAATTCGCATATCTCCAGTACTATCAATAAAGCCATCAGAGCATTATATGCCTGACAAAGGCTGTTTGGTAGTACATGGGGTCTTAAGCCGAACATAATTTTGGACATTTGATACTATAATAAAGCCCTCTTTAGTTTGGTGACAAAAAGTGGAACATGTCACAACTCGGGCTTCTTTGGACAAAATTTATAGTCTCATCTGTGTCTCTATAACTGGAGCTATGAGAACATGTCACCACTGCACATCCTTGTCAAGGACAAAGCTTGCAGATCAGCAATTCGCCTACCAGATATTGCCAACTTGAAAACTGGGGACTTGGTTGCACATATAAGTATACTCAAACTATTCATAAATGTCCCATACATTAGAATTCCCGACTATGGGTCACGGACTATAGTTTTCGATACATCATTTGAGGTTATTATACCGAATAGGGACTTATGGACTGATAAAACTAGGTGGCAAGAAACCCCTGATCAAGTTTGGTTCACATATGGGTCCAACCATTTGTGGCCACAATTTCCAAAAGAGCATGCCCATTGGAACTATCCTTCAATAGCAGTAATATAGCCATCTTTATTTGTGCGTTAGGTGAAGAACTAAGGGATTAAGAATTTTTATAATGTCGGGTAGCCAAGCATCACTCAAAGCCTTAAAGTCATACGAGGTAAGGTCAGGTGTTGTTATGGACTGATTGACTTCCCTCAATGAGTTAGGTAAACACAAAAAACTGAGCTTGTGTTGGGGCGCTCGTCGCCAACTAATCGGCCCTGAGCCTTTCTTTGGCATCCCCCGAGGATACGCCAAAGCTAAATGTGTCTCTTGGGTGAAATCTGAATTTATTCGCCAGTGGGAAGCAAGACAGACAAAACGTTTCATTTCACTGTTAAAGGGAAGGTCCCAAAAGCTACTAGCGCTAAATAAAAGCGATCTCAGAGTACTCACGGGATTACTACTGGACATTGTGGTCTCAGATTCCATCAATTCAACGCAACTTTTCACCGAATCTATGCAGATTCTGTGGCCTACAAGATGAAACCTCAGAACATATGTAACTGTCCAATATTAGGGTCTCGCAGAGCTCTCACCAACTAAACCAGTTACCTTCGTGCGTGAACTAAAACTTGTATGGTGAACCAATGGGCTGCACAAAAGATCCACACATAGGTCGCAGTGCTTTAGATACCTTTCATCTAAAACAATTTTTTAAATTGGGTCACTTGACACGAATGCAAAATTTTGTTATTACTCAATTATTAAATTTTCCGATTTAAATTTTCAGATTTAAATTTCGCAAATATCTGGTGTCTTCAAAAAACTGTTTTCAACATACATACATAGACAGACGGACATTGCCAAATCGACCGAGCTATCGAATTCATATAAAGTGCTTATTTAAGTACATTTGACTTATATTTTGACTTCTCTATTTTAAAAGCTATACTAATTCACACTTGTTTCAAGCAAGTGGGAAGCCAGAGGGGCAGTCTTAATGGTTTCATATTTTGATTTGTAATTCAGTATTCTAGTTGGATATGTAAATTAAAGTTGAAATGTAATCAAAACCCACGAACAATAGATTATTGTTCAAAGACTAAACTCCTTTAGAGCAAAAAACCTTTTATTAGTTTTAGTTCGAAATGAAATCACAAGGTAATTAATTTTGAAATAGAACAGTTAGAGACGTTAAATATTCGAAGAACAAAAGTTTGAAAGGAATACCAATAAAAAATTATTTTATACCATAAACCCATAAATATAAGACGATCTGGTGAAAAGGCACGTTAGGGCCTAAACTTTGACATTTATATGAAATTAAGGGAATCAAAATAGGCGAACGAACTATCATAGCAAAAAATGAAAAATCGGAAAGTAGACTTGTATATTACATACATTGTTTTTAGGGTTAAAATCTTAGTTTCATATCAAAATCAATCGTACTATCTGATTAATTGAAGAACATACATAGGGACTATTATCTAACTCTTTGCCGGGTTATATCTCTATTATCTTGAGATTTGATATTTTATTGTAGACATATTTATAGAGCATCACATACGAAATCATTAACGTAACAAATTAACTTTAATGATTGCAATGACTTAATAATAATAACTATTCTATTTTTACGTCATAATTAATACGCATGAACAAACCGAAAATCCACAAATGACTACCATGTACAGTTTCATATAAGGGAATTAAATAGCGCCTACAGGAACTTTGAGAATGAACAAGTTACGTACATTGGCACTATAAATGTGTTTTGTTTTATAACTTACTTATCGAGCATTCATCTTTCTTATAAAAGTCATATTATTATACAACATAAATGAAACTGAATTTAATATTAGATATCAATAAATTTTAATTAAAAACATAAACTAAATTTATGCTTTAAAATAACCAAACAAAACTAAAATATTTAATCCTTTAACAAATCCTTTACCACACTTTTTATGTTTCATTTCCTGTTTCATCAAAAGATTGCATGCATGTTGCATCAGAAGCCGGTGATTATGCCTTTAAGAAGCAACCTGCTCGTGCATCATTTTTCGCCAATGGCAATATTAACATCAACCACAACGAGGACAGCGAAACTACAGCAGCACTTTTGCAACTAGAAGAATCCCTACAAGTTTGTGGTCTCTATATAGTGGGTGAACCCGATACCATTGTGGAAATAACAATGAAACACTACGATGTTAATTGTGAAAGTGGCGGTCTAATGGCGGTAGGTGCAAGACAAATTATTTATTTAATAGAGAGTTTATTAAAAAAAACATAAATGTGTTTTAAACTTTTTTTTCATATTTTCTTTGCTTTTCATTTTTTCTTTGCAGTTTGTGGATGGTTGGGAATTAAATGGTGAATATTTTCCCAGCATAAAGGATCATCAATCGTTCATTAGATGAAAGAGTACAGGAGTTTTGCAATAATACAAACAAACAATGGTTGGTATTAAAAACGTTGGAGTTAATAATAATGTTTTCATAAAGGGTGTACAGGAACGGATTTTTTTTCAATGACACTTCTTCAGAGAACTCTTGAGAAATATTGGGTTTTTTTCACGAAAAGGGTAAAGACACTAACTAACGGCTAACTAACTACTCTAAAACGAACTAACTAACTTAACACTAACACTAAAACTAACTAAAACGGGGGCTAACGAACGAAAACGAACGAACGAACGAACGAACGAACGAACGAACGAAACGAACGAACGAACGAACGAAGAACGAACGAACGAACGAAACGAACGAAACGAACGAACGAACGAACGAACGAAGAACGAACGAACGAAACGAAAACGAACGAAGAACGAACGAACGAACGAAAACGAACGAAACGAACGAACGAACGAACGAACGAACGAACGAACGAACGAACGAGAAACGAACGAACGAACGAACGAACGAACGAACGAAGAACGAACGAACGAACGAACGAACGAAACGAACGAACGAACGAACGAACGAACGAACGAACGAACGAACGAACGAACGAAACGAACGAACGAACGAACGAACGAACGAACAAAGAACGAACGAACGAACGAACGAACGAACGAACGAACGAACGAACGAACGAACGAACGAACGAACGAACGAACGAACGAACGAACGAACGAACGAACGAACGAACGAACGAACGAACGAACGAACGAACGAACGAACGAACGAACAACGAACGAAAACGAACGAAAAACGAACGAACGAAAACGAACGAACGAAACGAACGAACGAACGAACGAACGAACGAACGAACGAACGAACGAACGAACGAACGAACGAACGAACGAACGAACGAAAAACGAACGAACGAACGAACGAACGAACGAACGAACGAAAACGAACGAAACGAACGGAAGAACGAACGAACGAACGAACGAACGAACGAACGAACGAACAACGAACGAACGAAAAAAGAACGAACGAACGAACGAACGAACGAACGAACGAACGAACGAAACGAACGAACGAACGAACGAACGAACGAACGAAACGAACGAACGAACGAACGAACGAACGAAACGAACGAACGAAACGAACGAACGAACGAACGAACGAACGAACGAACGAAACGAACGAACGAACGAACGAAACGAAAACGAACGAACACGAACGAACGAACGAACGAACGAACGAACGAACGAACGAACGAACGAACGAACGAAACGAACGAACGAAACGAACGAAACGAACGAACGAACGAACGAACGAAAGAACGAACGAACGAACGAACGAACGAACGAACGAAACGAACGAAACGAAGAACGAACGAAACGAACGAACGAACGAACGAACGAAAAGAACGAAACGAACGAACGAAACGAACGAACGAAACGAACGAACGAACGAACGAACGAACGAACGAACGAACGAAAGAACGAACGAACGAAACGAACGAACAACGAACGAACGAAACGAACGAAACGAACGAACGAACGAACGAACGAACTAACGAACGAAACGAACGAACGAAACGAACGAACGAACGAACGAAAAAAAACGAACGAACGAACGAACGAACGAACGAACGAACGAACGAACGAACGAACGAACGAACGAACGAACGAACGAACGAACGAACGAACGAACGACTAACGAACAAAACGAAAACGAACGAACGAACGAAAACGAACGAACGAACTAAACGAACTACTAAGAACTAACTAACGTAACTAACTACAACCTAACTAATAACTAACTAACTAACTAACTAACTAACCTAACCTAACTAACAACTACTAACTAACTAACTAACTAACTGACTGCAGGCCTTAATGAGTTTCTATATAAAAATATTATATATATTTGGAAATTGGACCACAAACGAATAAATAGGTGTCTACTTTGGGGACCTCTGGCCCCGGTAGGCCATGTTCAGAAACTTAAAACTCGACAAACAGCTCCTCTCTCCGATGTACCATTTCATTAAAATCGAACTAAGCGCTTATAAGTTACAGAATTATTTCCCCTTTATTTCTTTGTACTTTCTACTTGTTTTCAAATTATGTTTATATTTTAATATCCTTCCATTTCAGGCCACGTTTAACAAACAAAAAATTCTTCCGGTCTAGTCAAAATGCGGCTCTTTTACAATATCGCATACCTATCAAAGGAAGTTTCATTGCTAATGTGCGTTTCCATAAAATTAGTCAACGTAAGTTATTGAATGAAAAGCAAAACGAATCAAACCTTATTGCTATTAGGATTTTAATTGCAATTTCATGCAATTGATGAAAAAAACATTTTTTCATATTTCTTGTGTTTCATTTTTAGCTTGCAATATTTTGGTTCAAGACACTGATGCCTTATATCACATGGCTAACTATGGTCATAATCGTAATTGTTCTATTTCTGCTTTGTTTCCGGCTGTTGTATCTGTGGCAAATTTAAAGATTGGTGGCAAGGCAGTACGTCAGGATAAACCAAATTATGATGTGAGTAAAAAGTAATTAAGTTGTACTGAAAAAGTATAATAAGTAAGAAAAGGTAAATTTACAGTGTAGGCAGTATTTTATGAGTTTTTTTTTTTTTAAGAGGAAACCAAGTTGAACAATATATTGACAATTAGACTCTTTTGTAATTTACACATTCTTTAACTTGCAATATTGGAACAAGGTCATTATTTCTTAAGAATTATTGTGTTAAACAATCTCTATTTAATTCTAGTGTGGCCTGTTCACGGATCGTTTAGAAATCGGGGGATCTTCTGGTTTAGATGCCACAGCTATGGAAAAGTCTAGTGATGTATGTGGTTTCTCTAATGAACCTGGTAAGTAAATACCTAAGCTACAGCAATGTTACAAAATAATTACTTCAAAATATATGTTTCTTCTACTTAGGACCTGAACAGGCCATATTCTGTGGAGTCACCACTATACGATTGATTTCAACAGGACGTTTTCAGAACCAAGCCTCTATTATGATACGTAAAGCTGAGGAGCATGATTTGGATATAGCAACATTAATTTGTGCACTATAAATTAAGAAACTAAAACGTAGAATACCAAAATGATATAACTATAGTCTAAAGAAATAATTCCAAAATGTTCCGAACCAAAAAAAAAAAAAATAACTATTAATAATATTAGCACAACAAATATGCGAAAACAAAATAAAACAGCAAATATTTTAAATAATACAGTGCGCTCAAAAAGTCTTTGTCTCCTTAAACTAAAAAGTAAGTAAAAAATAAAAACAAATTTATCGCAGCATTACTTTTTGAGTGCACTGTCTTTATTTGCCGCAGTATGTAAAAAAAACTTTAGATTTTCTTTTAAATTAAACTCTGGAATTTTTGTTTCGACATTTTACTTTATAGTTAATTTCAAAAATGTATATAAACAGCATATTTTATCGGTTTTAATGTATGTAGTATGAACTTAATATAGCAAAAAAAAATAAAAGACAAACATTTCAAAAATCATTGTATGAATTGTATGTACTGTTTAAGTGTTTTAATTGGAAAATTTCAATATTTAAGTATTCGCTAAAATAAAAATAATATGGAAAAATATTAAAACTACAATTAAGAAGCATAATAATTTTAGAAATGAGATAAATAAAGTAATAATCTTGATGTATTAAAAAAACAAAGCTTTTTATTATACATCATCGGAAAGATATGTATATTGATTATACCCTACACCTTTATATTGGGTTTGTGCTGATGTTTGTAACATACAAAAATATTCGTCTTATACCCACCTTAAAGTATACCAATCGGCTTAGAATCATTTTCTGAGTCGATTTAGCTATGTCCATCCGTCCGTCCGTCTGGCTGGCTGTCCATGTAAACCTTGTGCGCAAGGTACAGGTCGCAATTTTCAAGATAATGGGATTAAATTTGGCACACACGCTTTTTTTTACCCAAGGATGAAGCCTATTGAAAATGGTTAAAATTGTTCCATTATTTCACTTAGCCTCCATACAACAGAACCCCCCGAAAAGGGCTTCTGAGCTTATAATAATATAATAACAAGTAAGAAAGTATAGTCGGGCGTGGCCGACCATATGATACCCTACACCAGTTATGAATATTAAATGTGATTTATTTTTCATAATAAAGCATTTATCTTCAATATTCCCTTGTTCCGATACATTTAAGCAATTTATGGATGAAAAACTAATTTTCTGAAAGAGGCTTTATATGGGGGCTAGGGGCAAATATGGACCAAGCCCGATAAAATTTTGTGAATATATTTATATTTACATAATATTTTATTGTGCTGAATTTCATCGCGATATTTGTGTTTATAAGTTAATTTGGGACATTCAAGTAATTTTCTGAAGGGGACTTTGTATGGGAGCTAGGGTCAAATGGGGCCCGATCTTTATGAAATTTGGCAGGGTCATCAAGACTTCTATAAAACTTAGTTGTGCCGTATTTTATCGATATATCTGTATATTTAACATAATTATGAGCTCAGAAGCCCTTTTCGGGGGGGTTCTGTTCTATGGAGGCTAGGTGAAATAATGGACCGATTTTAACCATTTTCAACAGGCTTCGTCCTTGGGTCAAATAAAACGTGCGTGCCAAATTTCATCCAATTATCTTGAAAATTGCGACCTGTACCTTGCGCACAAGGTTTACATGGACAGCCAGCCAGACGGACGGACGGACATAGCTTAATCGACTCAGAAACGATTCTAACCCGATTGGTATACTTTAAGGTGGGTCTAGGACGAATATTTTTGTATGTTACAAACATCAGCACAGATTCCGAATGGTAGTGTTGAATTTCGAAAATGGGCAATATTGGCTCACGATTTAATCAGGCCCCAATAACCCGGACTATTGATTATTATAGTATTTTGCATAAGTTATATGCTTCTGAAAATTTTACTATAAAAAAGTAAGAATGTATTGTCGGGTATGACTGACCATATAAAACCCTGAACCAGTATTGATATGTGAATTATATTCTGAAGGGAACTAAAGTGAAATATTGACCGATCAATATGAAAATTGGAAATATGTGAAACATAGACGTTCAAGTTATAATCTGAAGGGGACTTTGTATGGGAGCTAGGTTCACATGAGGCTCTATCATTACAAAAATCGACATTATTGCTACGTTAAAACTTAATTCTGCCGATTATTGTTAAAATATTACTACATTTATCGAGGATTCCGATAATATAAAGCTGATTTTAACCATTTTCATCAGTGGACAAAACTTGAAAAAAATCGAAACCCTGAGGCCAAGTTATATTTTTCTAAAGGATTAAGACGCGCTGAATCTTCATTACAGCCCTTAATATATTTAACGACAGCCAGAAGGCAATTAGGACGATATCAGGTGATAGAATTATATCTAAGACCGTATTGGATTATAAGGAAGCTTGAACTTAATGCTCTCCCACAGGTAAGGTTTACATCATATGGTTACCAGGCCACTCGGGAGTAGTCAACAACGAAAGGGCGAATTTAATAGCTTTAAAAGGAAGGGAGCTCGGGGCAGTTAACCTGACAAACGTAAAACCATTCAACGCAATAAAAGCTGAATTAAAAATATGGGTGGGAGAATCCTATAAGGTCTCTTGGAATAATGAAATGATGGGCAGAACCACAAAGATCTTATGGGGTGACCCTGATGAGAGCAATGACGAAAAATCTTCTCAAAATGGGCAAGTCTGAAGTTAGTATGATGGTACGTATTCTGAGTGGACACAAAGAATTACAAGCACATCTATGCAAAATTGGACGTGCGGATTCACACGAATGTAGAGCATGTGTAGAGGACAGCGAAACTCTGGAGCACTTTCTTTGCCACTGTCAGGCATTCGTCGAAGTTAGATCCAAATATCTTGGAAGTGATCTTATTCCGGAAATAACATTCCTGACTAACACTAATTGGAAGATTCTTAGGAATTACGTCCAGGAAACTGAGTTTCTGAACATTGAAAAATAATACATTCAGTGAACAATTGTTTTTTATGAAAAGGAGCGCACAATAGACCCGATAGTGGCCTAGGTGCATTTCTTCAAATTTGATGTAGTATAGTTTATAAGTCAAATATGAAAGTTCAAGAAAATTTCTGAGTGGAACTTGTTTAAGGAGACTGGGGTCAAAATTGCGAAATATGAACCGTTTTTAACCATTTTCAATAGACTTCATTTGTGGGTCCAAAGAAAGTATGAGTCAAATCTGAAAATTGCAAACTGTAGTTTATTTATATACAAGGTTTTTATGGATGGCCAGACAGACAGACGGACATCGCTAAATCGATTCAGAAAATGATTAAGAGCCAATTTATATACTTTAAGATAGATATAGAACCAATATTTCTATGCGTTACATATATCAGCATGAACCCATAATACCATCTTCTTTTAAGTATACAATATAGCTCCGTCCATTAATGACACAAGACTACATTAAAGGCCCTATTTAGTTTATTTAACTTTTTATGCTGAAAACGAAATTTCACATTTTCTTAGTTTTTGTTGGAAATGGTGTTCATAGAATACATGCAACTGATATAAGCACTTTATTTTTATCAAGACTTGATCGCCAAGTAATTATGTTTTCAAGACACTAAATTGTTTAAAATTTTTTATTAAATCATCAGGGAAACCCCAAAGCATATATTGCATATATTTGTACTTTTTTTTGTTGACTAGTGTTACAGTTTATTATTACCAACTACAATACCTGATAAAGCATTAACTAATCGTAGATGGTTAATTTTAAATTATTTTTGCAGATTATCTACATTTATATGTGTAACTTAACGAAAAAAGATCAAAAGTAAATTTTGAACTTTTTTCCGATGCCCTGATGTGCAAGTCTTTTAAAGTTGTCAGAGCTGGTCTATGTCCTGCATCCAACAAAAGTTTTGTGTTTTTCCGATAGGGTATCGTGTTATGTGATCTAATTAATCTTTTCATTACAAAGACCAACAAAATTTTAAAAAAGTCGAAACCTAGAGATTAAAGAAGAAATCTTTACTTTAAAGTCGACTGATTGGATTTTCAGATGTTATAACAAGTGTTATAAATAAAGGTGTCTTCGCGCAATTATACCATCTCAAATCGGGCAAAATAGAGGTTTTTCAAACTTCTTGTTAAAGATATCGTGAAAACCAGATGCATTGTATTCTGTGGCCATTTACGCAATTAGCGCTGCTCTTTGGTCTATGGGTTAAAACATTTGTTGGCCTGAATTATTAGTTAAAAACTCCTAAGGGATAAAAAACTGAAAATACCTACCCACTTCTTTAACATTAAACATTGATTAAAATTTGATTGATAAGCCAATTTTTTGGATTATATTATTAAGAAATTTAAGGTTTCCTCTCAGTTTCGCACCAACATTCAACATGTGGCGTTCTCTAGCGTTCGCAGCTCTGTTGGCAACAACTTTTGCCTTTAATTTACCAGGAATACCCAGAGATTTTACTGCTAACGATGCCGTTTTAGCCGCAATATCTGGTAAGTAGTTTCTTTTTTGTTTTTTTAAGCAATAATTTATTTTGTTAATGTTTTATTACGCCAATAATAATAGTAGGTAGTTTTATGATAATAGTTATAGACGATGTCATAAAATTGAACTATTGTTTTTTGGATTGTTTATTTTCTAATCTTAAAATAATGTTTTTACTGAAATAACTTTGTACTTTGTCTTTCAGAAATTAATAATAGTTTTTTATTTTATTTATTTCGGTTGATGATTCAAGTAATTTTAAAACATACAACTAGTGATAGTCACGTGATTATTTAATTAGGAAGGTTATTTTGAATTCTGTTTGTAATACATCGATATATTGGTCGAAACAACAGTTTATGTAGGGTATTCAAACGATTAACCGTCGATCGGTTAATCGATATTTTTTCGATTAATCATTTGACTCTAGCCCCCATATAAAGTAACATTCAATGATTTTAATGTTAATAAATTTCTTTAAAATACCTGTGCTTTCTATCAGTTTTAAACAACTGTCCCAATACCCCTTTAGTGTAGTATTAATATAAAATTTAAACTCAGAAATTCTGTAGGAACACAGAAAAAATTATCAGTAGTTTATTTTCAATTAACATGTTTTTCTCTTTCTTTAATTTTAATTTAAGCAATTTTTTATTTGTCTTAATTATCTCGTTGTTTAAAACCTAAGTTTACAAATTTGATTAAATTTTTAATTGATTCAATTAGTTTTTTAATTGATTGAAAAGAATTTTCTGGCCAACTTTTCTGTTTTAGTTTTTTTTTTAATATTTTATTCTGATTTCTTATGCTAAAAATGTTTATAATTCTTAAATAGTCAATACAATTTTAGGCATATAATATTCAAGTTTCCTGACAATTTATAAAACACTTTATATATTCAAATTTGATAATAAAGTGATATTTTTTGTAAATGCTCAACGCATTGTTAAAGGTCAAGCATTCCTTTAACATTGTGAGTAATCAATTAATAATT